AGTAACACATTGTAACTAGTAGGACCATCTATTACAAAGAAGACTATGGTCCTAGTAGTTGTCCCTATAGTTATGTCCAATGGCATAACTCCTTTAGCTGAAATTGCTCCTCCATTGAAACTCGTAAGGATGACTTCTGTTGGAATCATGTCACCCTCTATCTTTGCAAATTTCCTCATCATCCTAGATGGAATGTTGTTTATAGCTGCTCCATTGTCGACAAGCACTTTTGCCACAGGGATGCCGTTAACTAGAGCTTTAACGTACAATGGCCTCAAGTGTTTAGTCAATTTCATAGCTGACCGTTTAAAAATAACCTTTTCGACAGCTTCTATTTCTATTTCCTGCTTGTTTTCTGTCGAATTATCCCCCTGTGATAAGTCGACGTGCACCATATCGCGCTGAGCCTCTGTCTCCTGAATTTCCTCCTTACTGTTTTCTAATACTTCCTCATCAGTTACCCAACCTGTGGGAGGGGGCATTATTCTTGGAGGTGATCCATACTTTTCAGAGCGAGGCACTCTCTTCTTCCTTTTGAGCGTCCCGTACAGTACGTAGAAATCGAAAGGACGCCCAGATGGTTCTCCCAACAAGTCTACTTCGCGAACTCCCTCTCGATGTAGTTGCTTCAACAGAGTATTGTGCGATACTCCTCTCCTTCTTCTTTCTGCTTCTAGGTCGATTTCTTCTTCGATGTCTATCATCCTGTCGTCTTCTTCATCATTGTAGGCCTCTCTAGAAGTCTGACATTCTTCACATTCCAGTACGCAAGCCTCTCCTTTGTTGTCCTCCCTTTCTTCTTCTTCTTTTTTTTTTATTCTTGAATTCATTGGTCAGTAAATAATTATTAGCCACGACAGGAGGTAACGTACCGAACTGGATAGTAAGGGGCTGATCTGGATCTTCTCCATCCCTTCTGTCTCGCTCAAACTTTGATCTCCCAAAAGAAGTTTCTGGCAGTTCTTTCATTGATTCATCTATACCGGTCTCTTCACTATCTTTGAGAACATTTTGATTGGCTTCCTTGAGTAGTTTAGGCACTTTAGAATGTGGCATTCCCTGTTGCTACCTCATCATTCGTCCATAGTTTCGCTGGAAATGCCTTTGTTGGGTTGTAGTCATCTCATCGAAGGGTATTGCCCTTCCTGCATTATACTGGAACGAATGCCATAATTTGGCCAGCGAGGTTGCGGCCTAAATGTTCTCCCATTATCTACTGGCCTGAACTGCCTCTCAAAAAGTGGTTCTCTATAGAATGATGTACCTCGCCCTCTACCAGGCTGAGTGTTTGGAAAGAAAGTAGGGCAATGGGAATACTGTCATATCCCTGATTTCTCCGTATTCCTACTCACTTCTCTTTTACATCTTGCACACATGACGTCTTCGTCCTTTTTTGGCTCCTTCCCCTTGATTCGTTCAAAGACACTGGGATGTGGTTCAGGGTCCTCTTCTCCATCATCTATGACCAACTTGAATTTTGGTAACTTATTTTTGAAACCAGCCGTTACCATGTTCACTCCAAGTGGTTGTGGAAAAGGATTTTCATCCACTGCCATCTTCTTCTTATCGTCGAACGTAATTCGTCCTGATTCAATGGCATCCTGCAATACATGACGAAAAATCAAGCAATTGTTAGTCAAATGTGACCATGTATTATGCCACTTACAATATTTTTTACCCTTAATTTGTTCAGGATTTGGCAATTTATGCTTATCGCTCAGCCTTATCTGCTTATCCCTATATAATTTATCAAATATAAGGTCAGTCTTGGTTACATCGAACGAGAACGTTCTAGCCTTTATGTTTCCATCTTTCATGGGCTCATCCTTGCCCGATGGTCTAGGCTTAGCCATTATAGGACAAGTATACGTGTCTCCTTAGACCAATTCGGCCAAACACATTTCAGCTTGATCGTATGACTCGTCGCTGATGGTATGAACGTCAAAATTTAGGTCTTTGTAATAAGTCCCTTTACTAGAATTTTTCATCTGCTCTTCTTCTCTTCTTCTCTTATCAGTCGTTCATACCTAATCACATTCGCACTCAACTGGAAAAGGTCAGGAAATTCCTTGTTTTAGAATTTCTTTTTTAAATCAAAACTCAAGCAACCCTGAGCGATTTTAACAAATTCTTTTTCGGGCAGAGGTACAAAACACTTACTTCTTGCTGTCTTGAACCTTTGGAAAAAAAACTTTCTGCCCATTCGTTTGGCATTTGACGTAGATTCGCAAAATCAGCCAAAGTAACTTCAGACTCAGTTTTATAAAATTGAGCGTGGAATAATTGTTCCAATTGTTGCCATATTTGAACAGAGTTCGCTGACAAGTTGATGAACCAGGAGAAAGCTACTCCTGTTAATGAACTAGGGAAAAGCCTCATTTTATGGTAATCAGTTACATCACCACTTTGCAATGTGAATCGCCCTATGTGTTCTAAAGTAGACACCTCTCCTAAACCGGTAAACAGTGAGAATTCTGGCACTTTATACCCTCTAGGCCATGGATATGCTTGGTCTACCCAATCAGGATATGGCTTTGTGTAAGTCGGCCTAATGACAGGACGCACCCCAAAAGCTATCTGATCCTGTAAGATTTCGATAATCTGATTCCTCAACATGACGTTGGGGTCATAAGGAATTCCTACAGGTTGGTTAACCGGTTGATTTGCATGAGGCCTGATAGTTGGTCCTTGATTGGCAACAAAGTTACCATGATTTGGGTCATTACCATTAGCCTGAACATCTATTCCCTCATTAACACATGGGGTATTCTGTCCATTGTTTAGGAAATTATCTCTTACATTTGAATTACCCTCCAAGTTAGGCGTACCACTACCATTGTTCTGATTTGGCACTGCACCACCCCCTTGGTTTGAAGTAGAGGGACCAGAAAGTGGTTCTATCCCTTGATTTGGATTTAGGACTGAGGGATTATGTCCCACAATTGTCCTAACTTGAAAGTGGTTTGCAAAAGGTAGAACCGGTTGACATATTTGGCCTACTAACTTATTCATTATTTCGTTCAAAGTGTTTAGTTGTTTGGTCATGTTGTCATAATATGCATTTCCATTTTGGGTAAATCTTTCCATATTATGAATATTTCAAAGATTTACCTGTTCAACGACATCTTGTGTGAGTTCTCCAAGTAGTGCACGCATAGTTCGAGGACTCAACTCTGTCATTGGTTCGTAACGACTGTTGCTGCTCTGATTCTGTTCATCTGTTCGTCGAGAGGCATGCTGCTCCTCATATCACTCAATCACAGACTGGACTCCTCCCTGACTTGCTGCTTCCTTATCGGATCTCTAAGACATATTGTTTCACCTTTTGTATTTTCAACACCAAACACCACTGTCCCATTGGGCATGCCGAATTGTTTCGTGCGGGTTAGTCGCTAACAATTAAAAAGGGATCAGACGATTGTGTAAAGGACAAACCTCTTAAGACAAAGTTCCAAAAAGGGGTGTTCTTTATTGGCGATGACTTTACAATTGGAAAATAAAAATAGAATGCCTCCAAGGGGCGCAAGTACACGAGTTACTGTGAAAGAAGTGTTTAAATCTAAATTAAGAAATTTAAAGTTACATGTTCTCTGTTCGAAAGTTTTTGATTCGACGCTTTGCTCTATGTCTTTTCTTCCTTTTATACTCTCTGGATGATCTCTTTGTAATCAACCACCTAAAAACTGCTTGATCGTTCTATAACTGCCCACTTTCCTCGTAATGGCCAACTTGTCATGGAACTGCTTTTTCTAACTGCTGCCATTACTCTTTGTCGTTCAACCATCTTCAATTGAATTCCATGAATCGTGGAACGTGATAGGGCTGCTTAATAACTACTTTGATAACTGTGCTTCTTGATAACTATAACACTTCATGTTTGCTAAGACCTTGGGCGACTCGAAGGTTTGGACGAGAATAGAGTAGCAGCTCTGGGCGACTGCATGGAATTCCATTCGCTCAGATCCTGAGCGACTTGCAAGCTTGGGCGATGGTGTTATCGCGTTTATGGGCCTCCCTATTTGGGCTTTCATCCTGAATCGTCTGATTGGGATTCGTTCTTTGGGCTATCTGATTTGGGGATCCTTCAATTGGCTTCATTCCTTGGGCCGTTCAATTTGGACTGAGTTTTTATGTGTCAACAGTTGTGATGCCCTATAATGCCATGACGTTCTACTTCATAGGCTCCCAGTAGTGCTGAAATCTGTGCTAACATTTCCGGGTGTCTTGACACCGTACCTTCCTCCAATTTGATTAGCATCCCATCTTCATCATGCTCTTCGAGTGGATGAAGGTTCTTGCCTCATTTCTTGATCTGCACGTTGCCTCATAGTTGTGGTAATCGACTCAACTGCCAGTAATATAAGAAACATCGACATTCTGCGAAAATATATCTATGGCATCTCCATGTTATCATTGTGGCGATTCTGTCTCGTTGGCTCATGGAGTCAAACAAGAACATGATGTAAGTTGAAGATAAAAATGCAGTGAGAAAAATTGCAGATATAAGTGGGACAATGAGCAAATATTTAAGATCTTTATTGCAAAGTATAAGGTCAATATAACCATCTTTTAATAAATTATAGGTATCAGCAAAGACACGGCATTGACATTAAATTCTTGTTATTGTGCTGGTCCATATGTTGTGCTTGAATATTCAAAGTAAAACGACTCTTCCGGTAATTATGCGGTTATTTGCTTCAAGTGGGCTTCTAGATGTTGCTATCTTTTCCAAAAGTCATCAAATGTCTATTGAAGGGATAAGCATTTTAGATTTTCAAACTGTTACGGTATACGCGATTGAAACGTCGCGATTTTGAGTGAATACACGATTACATTGGCTTTCAATTTCTATTGATTCTTAAGAAATTCAGAAAGACAACAAGAAGTCAAGACTTTTCTCGATAGATTTAAGTACGATACTCTCATGAAAACCTGCTCCTAGAAGCAGAAGAGCCAAACATGCTATAATTTTTTGATTGAGCTTGGAAGGGCACAAAATGTTTGATATTTTTGGTCAAAGACAAAATCACGTTGATAATTAAGAAGTCTTAAACTCGTAAATTGATGTCTACATCAAATTATTGCAACAAAGTAGTACATTGAAAAGCAAGCAAATAAATCGCTTGTACATTTACTTATTCATTCAACAATACTCATCCCCCAAGAATGAGAGGGTTTTAAAAGCCCAAGTAGTTAGCATCTCAAATTATTGCCAGGATTAACTTGAAGTTTATTGCAGTAGTCTGTGTAATATCCAACTCGAGCATTAACTGCGCCCGAATTACCTCCACTGCATTCCATACTATTAATAGCCCGGATTGTAGCTCCAAAACCTTGGCCAGAAGTTATAATATTGTGACATTGATTCATCCAGAACCAAAAAGCAGCCTTGAACGACACTACGCGATCTGTGGCTACAGTACCTGGATTTCTTAAACCATCAAAACCTATGCTTTTTCCAGCTGGTCCATAGTTGTAGTTCCACGATAGTTGTAACGGACCTCGCCCATAGTAACCCTGGCCTGGGACACAGGGATACTCTTTGTTGTTTTCGTCACAATAATCTTTAGACCGTCCGTTTATTTCCTCAATATAGCAAAAATCTGCACCAAAGTCAATTTTTTTTGTTGAGAATGTAAAACCTATAATCTTAGAGCAGGCTATACTAGCTGTACTTTATCGCTTTTCAACTAAGATCGCACATTTCAATTTAGCTTAAAAGTAACTTTTTTTTTTTTTTTTATAAGTAACTTAATTGTACCTATTTTATCTTAATTATGAGTAAAAATTACTTATTTTGACAGTAAAATAAGTTAAAAACTTACGTCCAGTCTCATGCGTAACATGAGCAAAGAATGCAGCAATCTCGCGTTTGGAATCGTCTGCAGAACCAACAGTCCCGAACTTTGGATATGCTCGAGCAGCTTCGAGAAATGCTGCTCTCGTGTAGAATCCCTTTCCGGCGCAATTTCCGGCCGCTTGATTAGCAATACCATTGAAGAACGCATCCGTCACAATGTTAGCAACGGAACCTCCGTTGCCGGGTGAGGAATAGCAAGGGCCGGCCTTGCACCCAGTGCCACAGTAGCTATTGCCAGTGCCACAGTAACCATATTGGCTGCAGCACAAGTTCGCAGCACAGCCGCAATTCTGGCCCGAAACCCATTCCGGCGAGGTTCCGACCACGATTATGACCAGAATAATTGCTAGCAGATGTTTTCTTGAATTGTAGAAAACCATTTCTCTGTGTAGGGGAAATGTTAGGTGTAGAAATAAGGGCAGAATGACAGATATTTATAGTGCATTGGTCCACAGTCCGTTTGCACAAAAAATGCAATCAATTCTCCATCAAAATTTATTAGTAATTATCTATTTTTAAATGAAATTATTACATAAAAACATAAGAGATGCACATGGATTTGCGTGGACTTTATTGAGTCAAGGCTAAAATCAAGCAAATGTTGAGTGGGAAAATAAACTCTTGTCTGGGTCAAATATTGCAGTCAGGTCAATTTTGTAGGCTTATCGGTGGTTTTAGTTCCCAAATGCGTAATACAATAACGAATCATTGTTCGACTGACGAGTTGTCTTTATATTCCATTCTTGTTCGACCGACGACTTATCTCCAATTATTAATATTAACCATAGAAATACCTTTTTTTGTAGGACTAAGTCAAATATATATATTTTTTAATATTATGATGGTGAAAGAATTAATTTCACAAAAACAAATTTGATAAGCTCTGGTTATCGAAGGTGGCTGCAGTGGGTATAGAGAATGGTGGTGACTGGTTGTGGGGAGAGATTTGGTCAGGGAGAGGGAGACTGTTAAGCTTTGATACCAAAATGAAGAAAGACGTAATGGAACAAATTTTCAACAATGAGATGGTGCAAGATGAGAAAAAGAGAGGAAAAAGAGATACATAGAAATCGAGAGTGAATGAAGATTGTAATATTTGACATGGCCTCAAAGGGTAGATGTATCTTATCTTAGAGTTTAACCAACTTTTAGGGATCGACTTTGCACATCATCCATAATTTATTTATTTATTTATTATTATTATTATTATTATTGGTCTTAATGCTTTATTTTAATTTTCCAATAATTGATTGAATTGTGAATTATAATGAAACTGGGAGGTGATTTACTGTTTAGAATGGTTAGAACTAAATAATAAAAATTATTAACTTGGGTAGGAGATAGGGATACACTTTTATAATCTTTGCATGATTATGTATCAAATTTGTCATGATTACAATCAGTTAAATTTGATTATGGTGGCAATAGCAAAGCACTGGTATAGTACTTAAATTTGATTTGATATGCGTCCTAGCGAATTTTCTAAAGATATTCAATTAATTGACATATTTATTAAATAATCGAGTTCTAGAAATAAATAAATAATACATATATAGTTAAAAGTGATAAGGAATAATGAGATTCTCGAGAATACTCGAAATTTTCTCATATAGAAGAGTTTGAAAGATGAAAAGTCCTTAATGATGCCTAATCTTATATAGAAGTTAGACGTGATAAAAAAGTAAATCATTAGTTTACGAGCCCATTAATTTACTCCAAAATTTAATTAGTGTAGTCCATGCTAAAAGTTATTGCCATGAAATAATATGACGAGCTCATTGAAAGAAAATAGAGAATTTAACAACTTACGTCCAGTCCCATGCGTAACGTGGGCGAAGAATGCAGCAATCGCGCACTTAGAATCAAGAGTTTCAAGAAAAGCTGCCCTTTGTGTAAAAACACTTTTGGCACAATTTACGGCAGCTCGATCAGCGGTGCCATTGAAAAATGCATTCGTCATAATTTTAGAAATTGAAACTCCATTACTAGTGGGCGGAGCACAGCAAGGAGCCGCAATAGTCATATTTTCGATGCAGCACAAGTCCAATGTGCAGCCACAATTCTAATCGAAAACCTCATCCGGCATAGGGTTGGCAACGGTTCGATTATGGATCGATTCGGCCAAAATCATAACCGTACCACCAATTTTTTTACCATACCGTAACCACACCATAACCACGTAAATCGGTTCAGTTCGGTTCGGTTCAGTTTGTATCTCGGTTCGACACGGTTCGGTTCGGTTACTAACCACGAAAATAAATTATTTTTTAAAGGTTCATCCGTCAAATTGATATAAAACAATTTATGAAAAAAGTCAATGAAAAGAAAAACACAATATTCCAAACGAAAATGTAAACATTATCAAACAATATTCCAAACATAAATGCAAACATTATCCTAATTTTCAATTGTAAAATACAAATTTAACAAACAATATTATAAATATAATAATACTAAACTTTTCCTTCATTCTTAATTGTTGTGCATCGGAGTTACTTGATTCATTCTTCCCTACAAGTCTTACTAGCATAGATCAGCATTCAAAGTTGATTCCTATTCATCCTTGGCAATACTGGCACGTCTAGAAAAACATCGAATATTGTTTTTACATTATCAGCAGTAATAGAATAGCTAACAAATGTAACAAATTTTCGGAGGCGGCGACGACTTGGGACGTAGAGGCAGTGGAGCCGTGCGTGAATTTGTGGTTTGTGGAGAGTAGGGTTTGCATTTATATACTGTCATACTAATGCTATTAGGGGCTAATTGTAAGTGGGCTGGCCGAATGAGTCAGGTAGATATAATGAGGAGGGGAGGGAGTAATGGAGGAGATTTTGTTTTGGGCTAAATAGAAAAGTAGTGTAAAGCTCAATAATCAAATCAATTCAATTTTGTGTGTGTGTTTTTTTTTTTTTTTTTTTTTTTTTTAGCGAGTAATCGGTTCGGTTTCGGTTCGACGACGAAAATACCATACCCGCACCATTACGAACCAGTTCATTAAAATCAAAACCATATCTGCTTCATTGCACCATCGGTTTGGATTTTTTCGCCCCATTCGGTTCGGTTAACCGCGATTTTCGGTTATGACGGTTCAAATTGCTATCTCTAATCCGGCAAGGGCCAGACTAGGAATATGGCTAGAAAAATTGCTAGCAGATAATTTCTTGAAACGTAGAAAACCGTGTTTGTTAGAGTATGGTGACCAGAATTTTATTTGACCCGATCCCCCGCGATGCAACATATATGGTGAAAATGAGATCATGGACCCATTGTATTATCGAGCTCGAATGCATATATATGTGATATATTTAGGGTTTCATTGTATTATCATTCAGTGTAGTTGCACCTCTTGTTATTTTTGATATTTTTTTGACCGCAATTTTTCTCAGCTTGAGTTTTTACGTCAATCTGTATGTTCTTATTTTATATTGGCTATCCTCAATTTTTGCATAACAATATTTTTCTGAGCAATGTTATCTATCTCTAGTGGTTCTAAAGTATCAATCTACATGACAGTACTTAATATGTTCAATTAAATGAATGATGCAGCATTGCATTTAAATGAATCTATCATTTAATAGTATGCAGTTGCCACATAAATTGGTGCTGGACACCAATAGTCATAAATAACATTACTCTTTTCTTTTGTTGAAAATGAGGTTAGAATGAAAGAAATTTATATTGCACCTATAGGGGGGCGCCCTGGCAGTATAGGACCACATGGGCTCTATACACGTAGCATGATCCTATTTGTAGAGAGCGTGTAGGGTTTTCATGTGGGAATTGGGATATGATTGTTGACTTTATGAATAATGGTTGCTTCAGGGAGGAAATTTAAGTAATATTATGTTGCCTAACTCATTATTATACTAATATTAATTCTTCAAAAAAAAAATAAATAATAACTTACAGGAACAATTAGATATACAGTAATTGAACTGTTAAATCATCATGAGACTCTAATTTCGATCAATCGTACCACTTTTCATTAGTGTTGCTTTGACGATCCGACTAAACGAGTGCAATGACACAATTCACTTTTCTTTTCCTTTTTCTTTTTGCCAATTATTTATTCACCATATTCTTATCAATAGTTTTTGAGGCTTTATAGTGAAAATTTATTTAATTCAATACCTTTATAGTGGACATAAAATGTTCCATGGTTTCTACGTATATAAAAGATAAGGGCATTGATGCAATTGGAGGAGAGCTTACTTTTGTTTTTCAAGAGTCAGCGGTCAAAATATTCTGTTAGGTCAACAGACTGTTAATGGACAATAAATAATAAAATAATGAATTATTGTTTGAGGAGAGCTTATGTCCACGGCCTGTTATTTTAATCCACACACTCCAACTTTTTTTAATAAATTTATCCTCAATTTTCCAACATGGATTAGAACCCCGCATTGAAAGATTACAAAAGTATATACTAGGCTAAACAACAAAATTATCAAATCGTAAAATTGAACTAAAATTGCTTTTTGAAATCGCTGGTTTGGATTCACGTGAATCCGTTAACATTTTGATTTTGAACAAAATCAAACCGTTTCAAAATGGTTTAGTTTAATTTTCAGTTTTTGCAAAACGTTTCAAGTCGTTAAACTGTTTACAAATAATTAAGTATGAAAAAAAAAACATTAATTTAAAATTTATCCAACTTAATTAAAACTAAACCTTATAGTGATTCGTCAGTATTTGAATGAAGTAAAAGCATTAGACGGTTCACAAAAAGTTATGAAAAGTGTTGTCGTATTTGGTCGTTTTATTCATTTTTTTCATTAGTTGATTTATATTATTTAACTATAAACAATAAATCCATGTACTATATTTTTATCTTTGTGGAGAGAATGAATCTTGTGTTACAATTGCATATGTTGAGTAAATTAACGACTAAGATGTTTATAATATTTTTAACGACACTATTTATGTTTTAATGTGAAATTTTAAACTAATATATTTATGATATAACTTATTCGATATATTTTTTTTAATTTTTAAATAGTAATTTTAAATCGAACCAAACAAAAAAGTGATTTGAATTGATTTGGTTTAGAACGAAAAAATTCCAAACGTGGTTTGATTTGAAAATTTATTACAAACCGGTCATATCGGACAGTATTCACCCAATAGCATATACTTGTTTCCCTGTCTGGTAACGATTGTTGCTGTCCAGAAATGCTTTTTTTGACCGTTGGATAAGGTAGTGGGACCCGGGCTGCAGTTCTTCAATTAATATGTCAGAAATGTAGCTGCAATTTTGGACCATTTTCTCGACAGAATGACATTTCTGCCCGGTCAAAAATTTTGTTATGACAGATGGGCATTTTCGATATTTCATCTTTTACTTGCCCTTAACTGCTGCCACAATGGGACCCACGTACTGTAGCTAACAGGCAAAATTCTCATCGGATCCACGTACTGTAGCCAACAGACAGCCCTTTGTAGAATACTTTTGAAATTAGTGATTTAATACTAATAGTCCACCTACATCATGGTAGCACATGACTTGTCATTAGTGCTTTAAAGCTGGTCGTTCGTACGCGCATCCTGGGACCTGAGTTACCGGCTCGTGCAGGTTGTATAGGTCTCATTGGAATTAATCTTTGTTGCTCGGATATGCTCAGTGTAACTGTATTTGCACTTGGCCTTTGATTGCCTAGATATGTTCGATGTATTCAAGGGCGGACGCAGACATTTTACATTAAGGGGTCATAATCAAACTTTTAAAAAAATTGACGAAAATTTTTTTATTACTTTATATGGGTTATAAATTGTTATACTATTTTTTCATTTTGATTATTTTTACATCTAAAAAATTTATATATATAAGAAAAAAACGATCATTTTTAGGATTTTTTTATTATTGTTACTTTTTCCTCTCAATCAGTTAATTTTTTTATTTTTTTTAAGTAATCTAATAAATTTCCTAAAAAAAATTTTGACGTCATTTGAAAAAAAAATTAATTGATCAATAGAAACATGTAACAATAATAAAAAAAATTATAAAAATGATTGAATTTTTTTTATATATAAATTTTTTTCAGATATATAAATATTCAAGATGAAAAAGTAGTATAACAATTTATAACCCCTATAAAGTAATAAAAATTTTATTAAAAATTTTTACGTCCAAAAAAAAAATAATTCGATGTCATACGACGTATAAAATTTCCTAATAAAATGATGTAAATTATATTGAGAAATTTATCGCGCAAAAATAATAAAATTAATAAAATGATTGATTTTTTTTTTTCAAAAAAGACGAGTTATACTTCTTTTTTTGACATACACGTTTGACGTACATTTAACTATTTGATATATTTATGATATAATTCTCAAAATGAATTTCAAGATGATATAGAAGATTTATAGATACGACTAGCGTATAATCGTCAAAAAAATTTTAAAGTTAGCTTATTATTGAAATTCTTAAAAATTTAGTTCGGAACGACCTACTTTGACGGGTCATAACATTTGCTACGATTGGTCATTTCTCACACCATTAACGACGTAAAATACTAAGCCGTAAGTATTTTAAAATGATATTAAGAATGTAATATTTGAACTCCGTTTGATATTCTATAGTGAGCTTGAAAACTAAGACAAAAAAAATTGAAAAACTGGAGGGTTAAGTGACCCTATGGGACCCCCCTTGGGTCCGCCCCTAGGTGTACTTGTACATGATTTTTAATCTATAGTAATTCAGATTTATCGATAAAAAAGTTTAAATTACACACATGCATATAATAATAATAATAATAATAATAATAATAATAACAATAATAATAATAATAATATTTACAGTCGCTCACTACCGCAATCTTAAATGGACATTAAGTTCTTACATGTTATTGAACCTATGATTTACTACAAGTATTGTTATCTAGACAAGTAGCATCGGTGATAAATAATATTATTAGAACCTCATTCTGAATGACAATAATTAAGTAAAAATTAGAACATCAATTAATATTATTACAATCTAAATAAAATTTCTAAATCATTCAAAACGAACATGTTGCA